TTCCTCGATCGCCTTTATCTCCTCCAGCATCGCCCGTCGCCAGTCTCCAACGCGCTCGGCTGGCGCGAACATGGGTGGTTCCTCAGCACTGATGAGTAGCAGCTCTGGGTCATTGAGTAGCCTACCCGCCAGGCCTGAGGGCCCTGTGCCGCCGACGAGGTTGTCCAGCCTGCGGAACCACACCTCCTCACCTTCGTGGAAGGTATCCATGAACTCAGTGATGTCACTTGGAGGTGAGGCGAACTCAATCGGCGTCGATGGAGTTCCCTGTTCCACCGGAGAGCTCGGCACCCTGAATGCAGTGCTTGGCACTACTTCTGGACAGCTCGTCACAACTCCTGCAGTGCTCGACACTACTGTAGGAGTGCTCAGCCTTAGTCTTGGAGTGGTTGGCACCACTGCAAGACGTCTTGGCCCCACCACGGGAGTGCTTGGCACCCATCCTGGAGTGGTCGCCACCACTGCAGAACCTCCTGGCGTGCTAGGCATCCCTCTAGGAGTGCTCGACACTGCCCCAGGAGTGCTCGGCACCCCTCCTGGAGTGCTCAGCACCTCTTCCCCAGCGTATCCACCACCGTGGATGACCAAGTGCTCGACGACGAAGGTCCTGGTGAAGCCCCCAGCTTCCCCCGTGCTTAGATTGCTCTAGTCCCAAGACGCCTTCTCGTCGAACACGACGTCGTGCGAGACAAGCACCTTGTCTCCACGTGGGACGTAGAGCCGGTACGCCTTGGTACCCTCTGCGTAGCCCAGGACAACCATCGGTGTGCTCCTATCCTCCAGCTTGGTGAGGTTCGGCTTTGTCTTCCTGACGTGGCCGATGCAGCCGAATGTCCAGAGGAAGGACACGCTCGACTTCCACCCATACCAAGCTTCGAACGGCGTCTTGCCCGCTAGGGCCTTGGTGGGAGCGCGGTTGAGGATGAACACCACCGTGGTCACCGCCTCACCCTAAAAGCTTGCCGACATTCCCTTGGCCTTCATCATGGATCGAGCCATGCCGACCACCGTCTGGTTCCGTCGCTCCACCACACCATTCTACTGTGGCGAATACGACGCGGTGTGGTGTCGCACCACACCTGGTTCCGCACAGTATGCAGCGAACGCCATCGAAGTGAATTCGCCGCCGCGATCAGTCCTCAGTGTGCGGAGCTTCTTGCCGTTGTTGGCCTCCGCGCGTGTCTTGAACTTCTTGATCGCCACCACCGCTTCATCCTTGCTCGTCAGGAGTTGCAGCCACATGTAGCGACTGCAATCATCCACAAGCAGGAGGAAGTACCACCGGCCACCATTTGTGGCTGGGGTGATCGGCCCACAGAGATCGCTGTGGATGAGCTCAAGAGCATCCTCCGCACGATACTTGGCTGCCCTTGGGAATGGCAACCTCCTTTGCTTCCCGACCAGGCAGCTGTCACATAGCTCACCTTCGTGCTTGATGTGGGGTAGCCCTCGGACCATCTTCTCTAGCCGACCAAGCGCGTCAAAGCTGAGATGTCCGAACCGGGCATGCCACAACCATGGCTTCTCGGTGTGCCTTGCTGCCAGGCACACCAGCTGCTCTACCTTCAGGTCAAGCAGGTATAACCAGTTCTGGAGACCTCTTCATCTTGGTAAGAAGTCTCTACTCTCGGTCCCTAATTCTAAGGACTCTGTCCTTGATCAGTACCTCGCTACCACGCTCATCGAGATGGCCAATGCTGATGATGCTAGAACGCAGCTGCGAGATGTAATATACATCTGTTAGCACATGGTGCTCCCCGTTTAGGCATCTGAAGATGATGGTGCCGCGCCCTCAGATAGCCACCCTTGAGCCGTCACCAAACTTCACCGTACCGGTAACATCGTCGTCGAGCTCGGAGAAGGCTTCCTTGGAGCCCATCATGTGGTTGCTGGCACCAGAGTCCAGATACCACCGCTACTCCTAGTCGGCGCCCACATGCTTGAGGTGGACATGGGCACGTGATTCGTCGAGGCTGACAGCCTTCAGGGCCTTCCTAGGTCCTTCCACCACCATCACCTCTCCCCTCTCCTTGGCCTCAACATCGTGTAGTGCACAGAATGTCGCCATTTGGATAGTGGCCTCATCCTCATCATTGGCTTGCACCATATGAGCCTCAGCCTTCTTCTCCTGCTTGCGATTTGGACACTCCCGTGCCCAATGGCCCATCTTCCCACAGCGCCGGTAGGTGTTGGGGTCGACCTGCTTCTTCTTCTTCTTCTTCTTCTTCGAAGAAGCCTTGCCATGGCGCTTGCCATCGCCACCGCGGCTGGAGGAGGTTGCCTTCCCGGAGTTCCTCCGAGCAGCCCACTCCTCTTCTGTCAACAGCAGTGTCGGTGCAGAAAGTGACCAACACGTAAATATTTATAGTTTTGCAGTACATTGTGATCGGAGGTGGCCTAGCACTCAATGACATAGGGTTTATACTAGTTCAGGCAACGTGCCCTATGTCCAGTTTGAGTCAGTCGATGACTTTATTCCTGAGCCCAAGTGCTCAAAGTTTGCAGTGGGGTTACAAACGAGAAGGAGAAAGATGGGGTATAAGAGGTCCGGTTGGACTCTGGTCAGAAGGGCCGAGAGTGACGGGAGTCTGCTATGAGCTAAGTGTTCGAGTGTGTGCTCATGGTTCGAACCTAGTGGTTCTGTTGCTGTGTCCTAGTGAACTTGATCGATCTGAATGTCTCTATCTGTTGGAAGAGAGCACATTCCCTTTTATAGATGAAGAGGATGGCCTTACAAGTGAGAGGAAGAGAGTATGTATGCTACTAAGCCTTGTTGCCCACGCCGACGGGTACATGATGATGGTAGGCGCCTACAATACTGTTGAATGTCAGATGCACGTGGGAGGTTGTGTTGTCTTCTTCAGATATGGCGGACGTCGGCGCCTGCCACACTGTTGATACCCGGAGTCATGTAAGGGTTTTCACCGTGTTTGCCAGGTATGGTAATTGTCGGCGCCCACAACACAATCGATGCCCAGAGGCATGTGGGGAGCCTTACCGTATGGGGTAAATGGCGCCCATAATATTGTAGGGGAAAATGTCAGCGCCTACAACACTGCTTGGGTTCTGTCGTGGTGTCAGGGAGGTCGCAGAGTACTATTTCTATAGGTGTACAAAGTACGGTCCCTGGTATTGCGGTTTGACTTGTGCGCCCTGCCTTACTTTCTTCGTCTGTTTTCTGGTCCTTTCCGAGCGGGCGTCCCCGGTCGGTTGGTCCCCGGTCGGCTCTGTTTGTGTCAGCCGGAGCGGAGTTGTAAGCAGGAGTTCGGCGCATCCCAGGTCAAAGAAGCAGGTCGGAGTCAGAAGTAGTGTTTGTCCAGGCCTTCACGTCGGAGAGACCGTCCGGAGGCGGGCTAGAGACCGGAGCGAGTGCTCCGGTCGAAGAGGTGGGCCAAAGTCAGAAGCGGGCGCCGTTCGTCCTCGGCCAGGCCTTCCGGTCGGAGATTTGATTGTCCTTCTGGCCTGTCGTTTGGGCCGGTCCATGAGTTACGCGTTGTCTGCTTGGGCCGAGCCTTTGTTGGGAAGCCGGTCAGCGAGGGACCCCGGGTTTATGAACCCGACAAGCAGTTTGCCGCTGTCCATCGTTGCTGTCGCCTGCTCTAGGAGCTCATCCACCGCCCGCAGACGGCCTGTCACATCCTCAATGGTGAGGGAGTACAAGTCCAGCATCGTCTCTATGGAGAGAGTGATCTGGATGTACTTTGCCGGCACGGAGTTGAGGTACTTTAGCTTGCTGATGAGCGTCTGCAGGCGGAGGAAGAAGTCCTCCACCGTTTCACCAACCTTGAACTTGAGGTTGGCGTACTCCTACTTCAGAAGCTGGGTCGTCGCCTTCTTTGCGCGGTCGGAACCGACGCGCATCGCCACAATAGCCTCCCACTCCTCCTTAGCAGAGCTCTTCGCCCCCAACGGCTCCCTGTACTCCACCGATACAACAGCGATAATAGCCTTCAACGCTGACATATCATCTTCCTCATTGTCGGTGCCCTTGTAAATAGCATTCCAGAGCCGTCGGGCTCTGAGTTTAACTTTCATGGTCACCGACCACTCTCCATAGTTGGTGCGAGTCAGCGTTGGCCAACTGGTGCCGCTGACCTCCCGCACCGTGTGAACAACGACCTCCGGTCATGGCTGGGCAGCCACAGCAGTGCCACTGCTATCGCCCATCTCTGAACCGTTCGTCATCGCCAGCAGTTAGTCCGGCGAGGGCGCTTGTATGGCTCTGATACCACTTGTTGGCCCATAGGATCACCGGCTCAGATGAGTCGACCACTCACCGGTCTTGTCGAGCACCCGCTAGTGTTGCCGAGCACCCACTAGCCGTGCCGACCACGAAGAAGCGTTGTTCGTCCTCACACACTATGTCTAGAGGTAGAAGAAGAAGGGAGAACAGAGCACACACAGAGAAGAGACACCATGGCCGGAGCCCTGTATAGGAGATGGAAAATCTGAACTCTCTTTGTTGAGTTGCAGTGGTAAACTATATTACAACTCTATCCATATAGTCCTAGTATAGATGTCCTACTGTAACAGTGACTAGATAACACAGTAGGGATGACTCTGGCGCCGGCCCCTGCATGTAGCTCTGCAACGGCTACAGTATCACAGGAGGGGGGTTTTTGGCGCCACCTTCCCTTACTGTATATTCACACAAGATAGCAGTAGATTATCTAACAGCGGACACCAACAGTGACTGTCAAGTGCGCCGGCTCCTCACCGCCGGGTCACGTGTTTCGGCCAAAGACCTCCAAGTCGTGGGCGCCCATCCCGTGTTCGTCGGACACGTGCACGTTGGACGTGCCCTTCGCCCTCGCCAACTGAGTCTGGGGAACACCAATTTCTCCTTCGCGTCCCACGCCGCCACGCGCTTCGGTGGCAGCTTCTCCTACAGCCTCGTGGACCACCTCGTCCCGCGCAACGCCACCAGGTACCTTGCCTTCGGCCCAGGGCAAGTGCCCCGGACCCCGGCGACCTAGACGAAGCTGTTCCTGGACCCCCAGATGCCCTTCTACGGCTTCAAGGTTGACGCCATCTACGTGGCCGGCAAGGCCCTCGACATCCCCGCCGAGGTGTGGGACGCCAAGAGCGGCGGCATGATCCTCGACTCCGGCAACACCCTCACGGTCCTCACCGCCCCGGCGTACAAGGCCGTGGTCACCGCGCTGAGCAGGCACCTGGACGGGGTCCCCAAAGTGAGCTTCCCCCCGTTCGAACACTGCTACAACTGGACAGCACAACTACCGGGAGCGCCGGAGATCATCCCAAAGCTGGCGGTGCAGTTCGCCGGATCGGTGCGGCTGGAGCCACCGGCGAAGAGCTACGTCATCGACGTGAAACCGGGCGTGAAGTGCATCTGGGTGCAGGAGGGCGAGTGGCCCGGCGTGTCGGTCATCGGCAACATCATGCAGCAAGAGCACCTCTGGGAATTCGACCTGAAGAACATGCAGATCAGGTTCAAGGAGTCGAACTGCACCCGGTGATCGTAAAGCTGACCTTGATGGTTTTTGTAAGAGCATTCGCACGGAAATTTTAGTTTTCTGACGATCAAAAAATTAGAAAATGAAAATGATGAAAGCGCTGTGCATAAATCAAGTCTCTGCATGAGATACATACAGATATTCTGGGCGATTTGCTATCCTTGCATCAAACCTATTAGTACGCGCTTGACAAATGCTGTAACAGCACCGAAATGTACCGTTGGTAATCATCAACAATTCGGCCGCCCGGGGGCGTGATTTTATCGGTTGCTTGTACATAAAAACCTCTGTTTGTCTCTATCCTAATTGAAAGGCAGAGCTCCTACGATTGCTTTCAAAAATAATCAACAATTTGGTATATTATGATGATGTTCCAGATCTCAATGCTAGCACCACCAGAACCAGTACAGAACATCAAAGTTGTTCGGCAGCACAAGAAAACATACAATTATGGAAGTACATGCATACCATCAATTTAGCATGAGAAATCAAGAGTACAAAGTATCAAGGTCACTACAGATAGATAAACATTTCTTCTTGTTCATTTGGCTAAATAGGCAAAATGGCAACATCATAATTCACGACTCTTAGCTGAACTACAAAATCTAGGTACTCCTTTTCAAACTGCCCATAATCATGCTTCGGTCTGCTCCCGCAGGCGCCGGATTGTGCTTCTGACAGTGACCGCACTAGCAGTGCTGGAAATGCAAAGTAACAAATTAGAAAACACATGGCGACTAGAGACACAGAAAATGCGATATAATCAGAGTAACTGGACATCATCACATACTTCATGGTGTAGGCGCCACCGGCCTTATCCTTCCCACGGTCCTTGCATCCCCAGATACCAACTGCTTTCCTCTTCACAGCAAACTGTTATAAAGTATTGGCGATACAAAAGACAATGGCACAGGTAAGAATCAAAAACTAAATAGAAAGAAACATGGTATGGAATTCATAAAGGAGTTTCATTAAAACCATTTAAAACAGTGAAAAGCCAGAAAAGGTCTGGCAAGGTATGCCTTGACATTAACTGACTATCTAGTATAATTCAGGTAAGGTGGAAACTATCTCAGAAAAGTTATAACATGAATATGGCTATATGAAAGACGATCACAATTTGATATTGCAAATGGTGATGAACATATTTAACCCAAGTCACTATTCATTGCTATCATCCCAAAAAAGGAGATACTGGAATTAGTCAATAGCACATAATTGCTAAAATAAACAATAGTGCATCTTAAAAATAGCAAACAAACAATAAATGATACTCAACTAATGCACAGTAAATGATTGACCAGTTTGCTATGAGACTATGAAAGCAAGGCATCACAAAATCAATGAGTTTACCTTGCCACAGAACTCACAGAAGTACTTGGAGTGCTGGGAGACCTCCATCTTCTTGATCTGTTTACGTAAACTGGCACCATACCTGGTACCTGTGTAACAGCAATAACAAAAGAGTAATCAACCAGAATACAATGGTAAGAACATGACCGCAAAACAATGAGTAAAGATAGTCCAGTGTCTCTACCATATTTGCCAACGATTCCTGCCTTCTTGGTGCGCTTCGTCTGCAAAATCATCACAGAGCATAAAAAATCAAAAAGCATGTACAGATACGTACAATACGCTGCATTGGTTAACATGATACATTGCATAGACAGAAGCAGGGAACAGCTAAAGCAATTTATACCAGCACAACTCAACTGATGCAAATTAATTTCGACTGCCCAAAAGCAGGAGATGGTAAACAACAGCTAAGATCTAGTTGAAAAGTTTAAGCCAGATAGCTTTTCGAGTGGAATGATAATTATTGCTCAAAGCATGTATCTGAAGAAAGCACAATATTCTTACTACTTCGGTAACCTATTCAACTATACAATTGTAGTTGTTTATTTAGTTATTTAGTGCATGTACCAATCATTTAGAGCTTGTTTGGCTGCACTCCAATCCACATGTATCGGGATTGGGTTGGAAAAATCACTAGTTTTCGACACCAATTCATCCCAATACATGTAGATTGGGGTGGATTAGAGTGCACCCAAACACGGCCTTAGGTGGTCGAAATGGACTAATGGAGGCGGTTCCGACCGGCAACAAGATTGTGACAAACATTTTAACACGAAACAACATAATAGTGCAGATTTGTAAATCCCACGGTGAGATCCAACGATTCCTGACAGCTACCGAAAGCACTAGCAGGCTAAATAAGTAGGGAGCACAACTAGTTAATTGGGTAAATTTCTTGAAGATGCCGACCAAAATCAAGACAGCCCAACAGTAAACAACTTCTTCCAAAGTGGCGTACCATCTCGTCGGCGAGGAAGTGGCGGGCGTCACCGAAAGCGAGAGTAGGAAGGCGTCGCCGGAAGCGAGATGTCTCGAGTCTCCTCGGGAGGCGGCGCGGGCGAGGAACGTCCTGACGACGTCCGCGTCGACGACATCAGGAAGGGAGTTGCACTGCTTTGAGAACCTGCGGATGTAATCCCGCAGGGACTCGTTGGGCTCCTGCTAGCAGCTCTTGAGGTCTCAGGATTTCCCAGGACGGACATAAGTCCCCTGGAAATTTCCGACGAAGACCCTTTTGAGATCCGCCCAGTCACGGATGCTGTCGGGCGGAAGGAATTCGAGCCATGCTCGAACATGCTCCCCATGCAGATGGGGAGGTTCTTGATGATGAAGTAGTCATCGTCCCCTCCTCCAGCTTGGCAAGCGAACCGGAAGTCTTCGAGCCATATACCGGGGTTCGTCTCCCGGTGTACCTGGCGATGTTGGTGGGCGGTCGAAAGCGCTGTGGGAACGGCACTTTCTGGATGCGGCAACCGAAGGCCCGTGGCCCCGGGCCATCGGGGCTAGGGCTCCGGTCGTTCGATCACCGCCATGCCTGGGGTGCGTGTCCTCGCACCCCTCGATGGTAAGGCCGGGACCCGCGCCGCCAGCCCTCGCCGCCACTCGATGGACGTCATCATCGTGCCGGGCGTGGCGTCGATTGTTGATGACACTGCGAGCATCACGGTTCAGCCGTGGCTTCCTGCCCCACGCCCGACAACTACAGTGGTGAGTAGACGGAGCGATTCGACTGGTGCGGCCCTAGTCCCCTGGTTGGTCAAGAGGCCGTGAGACGGTGTCATGACACGGAGCTCTCCGCCTGCTGAACGGCAGCGGTCTCCACCAACGCCCAGAGGTTCCGGTGAATTGCCTATTCCTAGCGGTCGGTAGGCTCAGGGAGACCACGTAGAAGCATCACCGCAGCAACGATGTTCTGGCTAGCCCGAGCAAACTGAGGGTGTCGTTCCCTCCGTCCAGGATGTTACGCTGGACCTAACGGGCATGACCCCGAGCACCGCTCGCCGGGTTACGCGCATGTGGCATAGCGTGCTACGCCGAGCGCGCCAGTGTAGGTGGTGGCTGGCTCTGTCGCCTTTGTCGTAACTCCTCGCCGTGCTCCTATGCACGCGCCAGGGCCTTCGCACGGGACTAGAGGGGTGTGAGTCTGCAGAGACTCCACTACCATCGGTGGCTGTCCTGGGGCGTCCGCCATAGCACACTTCCAGGACAGAGGATGGCTAGGTACCACGACATCGCCGATGCTGGAGCCATCGCTTTCGACCTCGTCATCGATGCGAGGTCGTGGAAGGAGGCAGGAGCGTAGCCTGCCATCCCCACAAACTCGAACGTGAGAGGGGGCGGCGTCAGCATCCTTCGGAGCCCCCGCGCGCACGAGTCCACGGAGGATGCGAAGCTGTAGGGGAACCAGTCCCACGGCGGTCACGGTGGGGACAACGGGATCCCTCCGGAGAGTCAGCGGAAGGTGTTAAATAGTGAGTAAAGAACAATATGTACATCACTCACCGTAAGGTTTGAGCCCAGCAAGGGCTCGAGGCAAAGCGCGGGTGTCTCGACGTTGAGGTCGTTGAGTAGTCTAGGACCGATAGAGGGCGTTCCTCCTCCAGTGGGCGCCGGGGCAAGCGCCTCCTTGCGGAGGCAGAGTACGCCGAGCTGGTCGGCGACGAAGTCCAGACTCCCGAAGAGGAAGGTCTGGAGTTTCACGAAGACAGGAGGAACCCACATCCCAGCAAGCGGGAGCGTGGGAAACTCCAGCGAGCCGAAGCGAATCGTATCGCTCGAGCCCGCCATGCCAAAGATGGTGGAAAGATGGGCCATCCGATGACCAAAAGCGTGAACGCACGACATCCTCCCTACAAACGGCGCCAACTGTCGGTGCAAAATTGACAAACAAGTAAATATTTGTAGTTTTGCCGTGCATTATGATCGGATGTGGCCTAACACTCAATGGCACAAGATTTATACTGGTTCAGGCAATGTGCCCTACATCCAGTTTCAGTTGGTTGATGACTTTATTTCTGAGCTTATGTGCTCGAAGTTTGCTGTGGGGTTACAAACGAATAGGAATGAGAAGGGACGTTAGAGGCCTAGTTGGACTCTAAACCGAGTGGCCGAGAGTGACGGGGGCTCTAACGTATGTTAAGTATTGGAGCGTATGCTCTGTGTGTCTCTAAAACTTATTGAGCTGTTGTGTTCTCGAGTCGTTAAGAGAGTCTTTGAGGGAGAGAGAGAGAACGTCGTTTTTCAGGAGAGAACGCATCCCTTTTATAGTTGAAAGGGATGGGCTTACAAGTCAGAGAGAAAGCGAGAAAATATATACGTGTGCTGTATAGTCTTGTTGCTCACACCATCGAGTATGGGATGGCTGCCAGCGCCCATAATACTGGTTATGCCTAGACGCGTCTGGCATGCTCTACCGTGTTCGCTTGGTACGGCAAACATCGGCGCCCACAATATTGTTTATGGTCTGACGCGTCTGAAAGGTTGTACAATATCCGTCTATCATGACCTGGAGGCACCGTCTTGCAGGTGCATAGGATATGGCAAGGTACGGTCCTCGGTATTACAGTTGACTTGAGCGCCTTACTTTACCTGCTCCGCCTGCTCCCCAGGCCCACACCGAGCGGGCGTCCCCGGATTGGTCGTTTCCAGTCGTCCCCGACCGTGTCGGTCGGGAAAGAGCAGCGAGCAGAGGTCCGACGTATCCTTGGTCAGAGAAAGGGATCGGGCGAGGCGGAGCCCATGACCCAGAGGTCGAGCGAGGCGGAGCCCGCGACCCAGAGGTCAGGCGAGTACGGGGCCTGCCCCCAGAGGTTGGAGGTGCCGGTCGGGGACCGGATCGTGGTCTTGTCTGTTATTGTGTATCTGGGCTGGCCCAGGCATGTGCTGTCGTTGCGCCGTCTGCTGGGCTGAGTTTTGTAGGAAAGCGGGTCCATTGGGGACCCCGGGTTTATGAACCCGACATAGAGTTTATTTGAAACTTCCACCCAAAATGTTTTACATTGGAAAAACTTATAACCTGTTATAATGTATATAACGGATCATTATGTTAATGTTTAACTTGTCATTAAATAATTTTATTTTGGTTATATTCCACTGTTATAAACAATAAATATTATACTCTGATGTTGCATGGAAAGTGATGTAAGAAATTGCTAAAATGTTGTAAGGTTTATTCTCCCATTTACGATTCCGTTGAAAAATGTGAATTTTCGGGTTCTTCCATGGAGTGTGCTCGACATAATTGTTTAATTTAGCTCACTCTTAGGGTGTTTAATGTTTAATGAAAGACAAGCACCTCTGAAAGTGAGTTATTTTTGACAATTCTACCACAGTTGGTTAACTTTACTGCTCCTTGGACGTGGGTGATGATGGTAGCACGTCCCATCACTCACCCCAGTTCAGCCTGGGGTCTGACAGGCTTGAAATTGTCATAAACTTAAATCCTTCAATCCCTTATTAAGTGTCGTTGTGGGATGTATATCGGTCAAACTTTTTTAACTTTGACTAATTTATAGAAAATATTAGCAATATTTGTATCTCCAAATAAATTTATTATAAAAATAGATTTAAAGATCTATCTAATGATACTAATTATGTATTATAAATATTAATATTTTTTATTTTATATATTTAGTAAAAATTGAGTACGTTTGATTAATTAGTAACTAGAACGATTAATAAAAAAGCACCGAGGGAGCAGTAACATATTTAAGACAAAAATATGGTTTAACGGTGCATCATGGCCATCTTTTCCTGACATGATATGGTCGATGGAGGTACATCCGCATGCATGTGATGGCCCGGGCCATGTTGTAGGGCCTGTCGGCCAGTGGAAAGCCGATAGGATAGCCGTCGTATCCACCCAAGTGGAGTAGTGGACCTATCGCTGCTGGAACGCCGATAGAGGCATGCCAGGTCTCGAGTGGCCGATATGGTCTCTGTCGGCCAACCGGGCGCCGACAGAGTACTATATCTACAATTCTTTTCAAACAAATACTAGATTAGCAATTAATCATTAAAAAATATTATTTTAAAAAACAAATATTTTTTCCAAACAAATACTAAACGATTTTGCATTGGAAACCTCAAACTATTTCTAACAAACAAATATTTTTTAATAGTTCTTTCTCTTATCGATTTCACATATACAACCCTTTATTTTCTTAATTCACTCATGCTTTCAATTTACCCTGATCTCCCGACAAAAACATCAGACTTGGAGTGGATACAAAGTTACTCTCGACTGTAGAAACTTACGAGTTGGAGAGGATATTTGACATTTTTTATCTTTAAGGAGCTTTTTTACCAAATTGTTGGCAGATTTTTTTTCTTTTTCTGCTAAAAAATAAAAATAGAAAGTTGTTTAACAAAACTCCTAAAGATGCTCTAATTCGGGCTAATTTTATCTAGCCATTTATTAGCTAATTTAAACATACACCTAGTACGTCCTATGTTAAAAATCTGATAAGCTTTACATATTTGTTAGTCTCAACTCTCAAAATTTGTTGGTCTGGCTCAGTTCTTTATAGGTGTATTTATAGAGACTGAGTTTGCATGTGTGTATATGAGCCTCTGCATCTCTATCAGTTTTTTTTTAAATGTTCGTGGAGACATAATTGAAGATATAAATTACCAAGAAAGGTGAAGATTACTTTGGGTATCTCATGACTTGCCACGCCGAAGGAAATACCATCCATTGGATACAGTTTGCTTGCTGTAAATAGGGCCCGTCAATAATGCCACAACGCCGCAAGCCCGCAAATGGCATGCATTTCTTCTGCTTTGCCATATTTAGATCACACCAAAGCTAGCTTCTGTTTTCCTCGATTTTTTTTCTTGAAAAAACCTGTGAATTTCTATCATTTTTCTTCTTAAATTGATGCTGCTATCTGCCATTGCCCTTTTGCGAGGGAGACGACGTGAAGGGAGAGCAAGGAGGCAAGGATCACGAAATGGCCTTACGCGGCAACCTGCTCGTGTTGGTCCTGTTGTTCGCCGCGGCGGCCACCGCGAGCGGTAAGTCGGCGAGGCTTGATCTTGTCCCTGCCACGCCGGGAGCGCCTTTAGCCTCGCGGGTGAGGGACGACCGGCGCCGGCACTCGTACATCTCCACCCGTCTCCGGTCGCGCCGGGGCGGAAGCGGAAGCCGGAGGGTTGCCACGGAGGTGGCGGCGCCGTCCGCGGTCTCCTTGCCTATGTCGTCGGGGGCCTACTCCGGCACAGGGCAGTACTTTGTAAAGCTCCGCGTGGGAACGCCCGCGCAGGAGTTCACGCTGGTCGCGGACACCGGCAGCGACCTCACCTGGGTCAAGTGCGCCGGCTCCTCACCGCCGGGTCACGTGTTCCGGCCAAAGACCTCCAAGTCGTGGGCGCCCATCCGTGTTCGTCGGACACGTGCAAGTTGGACGTGCCCTTCTCCCTCGCCAACTGCTCCTCGTCGGCCAGCCCTTGCTCCTACGATTATCGGTCATTATCACCACCATTACGCGCCAGCAGCGCCATTGATGTCGACACCGCCGGCGAGCCTTTGCCGGAGTCGATGAAGACACCCTGCAACTGCACACCGAACTCATGAACGCACACGCACACAATACACAGAAGGTTTTGTTGCCACAATAGCGCAGCTTTTTTCTGACTCTATTGATCAAAGTATATAAACAGAGAGCAGCTCGTGGCCGCCCAAGACTCGGCGCCATGCACGCCACTCCTCCCTACAGAGCCGCGCCATCCCACGACCGAATGAGTGGAGCGCGTCGGCAGTTATGACTCAACGAAAAAGATGGACACAACGACTACGTGATTTGCCGCACCGCAAACCACGCGCGATTCTAGCGTACAAGATGCATCCGGTGACGCAGTTTTATTGGCTAGGATGGAAAGCTAGCTAACTGAACTCTGAAAGTTCTGAACCTGGACTGAAAGAACTGACTGAAACCAACTGAACTAACTGAATGAAACCAACAATCCCACCCTTCACGAGGTTGGTTCAGCCCAGATTAACAACGCCAATCTTCTCCCAAAGCTCACAGAACCTTGATCGCCCGAGAGCCTTCGTCATCAGATCGGCGAGCTACTCTTGAGAGCTCGCATACTCCAGCAAGATGCTGCCCTTGTCAATGCATTCTCGAATGAAAAGAAACTTCGTATCAATATGCTTACTTCGATCATGCAGCACGGGATTCTTGCTGAGCGCGATTGCAAACATGTTGTCCATCTTCAGTTGAGGCGTCTGAGGATCGTCACCGGTGACATCCTTCAGCAGCCTCGTGAGCCACACCGCCTGACACGCTGCTCCAGCGCCTGCGATGTACTCCGCCTCACAGGACAAGAGCGCCACCACCCTTTGCTTTTGGGACTGCCAGGCCACCGCCTTCTGCCCTAGGAATAAGATGATGCCCGTCGTGCTCTTCCCCTCATCGTGTCTCCCCAAATTGCCATCCATCAGAGCCGATCAGATTATTGTCGCTGCCTGACAGCTTGGGGTAGATGATGCCGTACTCGATCGTTCCGGCAATGTACCGAAGCAGATGCTTTACCGCCGCCATGTGCTCCTACCTGGGTTTCTCCATGAATCGACTCACAAACCCAACCGCGAACGATATGTCCGGGCGAGTGTGAACCAAGTACCTGAGACTCCCCACCAGACTGCGGTACTCGGTGGCGTCCACCAACGCCGTCGTTCCCTCCTTCGACAGCTTCAGGCGTGCTTCCATCGGGGTATGACAAGGATTGCACCCTGCCATGTTTGCCTTCTGCAGCAGCCTGCGAACATACGCCACTTGCCCGAGGGTGATAGCAGCCTTGGACTACCTCACCTCGATGCCCAAGTAGTAAGACAGCAACCCGAGGTCACTCATCCTGAACAGTGCTGCATCTCCACCTTGAATGCTTCGACTCCACCTTCCTTGGCTCCTGTAATAATCAAATCGTCGATGTAAACACCGACGACCACCCATGACGACCCCTTGCCGCGGGTGTACATGCCATGCTCACTGGAGCACCGTGCAAAGCCGAGATCATGCAGGCTGGTGTCCAGCTTCTGGTTCCATGCTCGAGGAGCCTAACGGAGCCCATAGAGTGCCTTCTTCAGGCGCAGTACCTTCCTCTCATGCCCAGCCACGGTGAAGCTAGGCGGCTGGTGCACATATACCTCCTCCGCGAGGTCTCCATTTAGGAACGCCGACTTGACATCCATATGATGGACAAGCCAGCCCTCCTGTGCAGCAACGGCAAGGAGCATCCTCACCGACTCCATTCTCGCCACCGGCGCGAACATCTCATCGAAATCGACGCCGGCCTATTGAACATAGCCCTTCGCCACGAGCCGGGCTTTGTGCTTGATGATCTCCCCTTGTTCATTGCGCTTGAGCTTGAAAACCCACTTGAGGCCGATCGGGCGATGGCCTTGGGGCAGATCAGTGAGCACCCAGGTGCCATTCTTCTCGATGGATGCCATCTCTTCCATCATGGCCTTCCTCCAGTGCTCGTCACCTCGTGCGTCTTCGAATGTGGCTAGTTCATCGTCCACGGCAAGCATGAGTACGCCGTCCATCTCCCGTTCAGCATGTACTGGGGTAGCCGCCGGTCCTAGAATGTTCTCTAATGTTCTGAACCGCAGCGGTACCTCGTCGTCGTGCTCGCCGTCGAGGTCTGGTTCACTAGAGGGAGGTGACACGAACTCCACAGCTGGGACCGATGTAGGGGACGCAGGTGTTGCTGGTCTGCTGCCTCCATGTGTGCCTGCTGGTGAACCCACGCTCGACGCCACCGTTGGCGTACCCAGCGTTGTCGGCGTTCCACCTTGCGATCCAGTCGAGTGCACTGGACTTCCCCCGAGCGAGCCGTCTGGCGCACCATCTTCCTGCAGCTCCATGGGATCACCATGGCGAACCGTCACCGTCATGTGCTCGACGTGAAACGGTTCTGAGTTCACCGTGTGCTCGTCGTCATCGTGCTCGCCCCAGTTCCACGGCCTGCCTTCATCAAACACGGCATCGCGGGATATGTGGACGCGATCGGTGTTCGGGTTGTAGAATCTATATGCCTTGGATCTAGGTTCATAACCGATGAACACCATCGGCATGGAGCGATCATCGAGTTTGCTCCGGTGTCCACCAGTGGCCTTGACATGTGCAACGCAGCCAAAAACACGGAAGAAGTGCACAGGAGGCTTAGAACCATACCACGCTTCAAACGGCGTCATGCCTTCAACACTCCGTGTCGGCGATCTGTTCAGGATGAAGACCGCAGTCATGACCGCCTCCCCCTAGAACTTGCCAGGCACCCGCATCGCCTTGAGCATGCTCCGCGCCATGCCCAACATAGTTTGGTTTCGGCGTTCCACCACTCCATTTTGTTGCGGAGTGTAGGGCGCCGTGAGGTGTCGTTGGACACCGTGCTCGGCGCAGTAGTCGTTGAAGGTGCGCGCCATGAACTCGCCACCACGATCAGTGCGAAGAGTCCCGAGGCGCCGTCCTGCCTCCGCTTCTGCCCGGGTCTAGAGCTGAACGATGGCCGCCGCAGCTTGATCCTTTGACGTGAGGAGCACAAGCCACATGAATCTGCTTTTGTCATCGACGGCGAGCAGAAACATGCGCTTGCCACCGGCGTCTCCGGAGTGATATGCCCACACAGGTCAGCGTGCACCAACTCTAGAATATGAGCTGCATGGTACCTGCTCGACATCGAAAATGGCCGTCGCCGTTGCTTCCCAGCTAGGCAGCTCTCGCACACTTGATCAACGTGCTCAACTGGTGGCAGCCCTCACACCAATCCTCCCTTCGACAGCGCCCTCAGCCCCTAGAATCCGAGGTGCCCAAATCTAGCGTGCCACTGCTAGGCAACCTCCGAGCTTCGAGCGGCGAGGTAGACGGGCCTGTCGATGTCGAGGTTCAGGACGAGTCGACTCGCCGTCCTCTTCACCTTCGCCAGTAGTCTCCTCTGCTGGTCCCAGATCCTCAGCACTCCATGCTCGATGAGGATCTTGTAGTCATCTTCATCGAGTTGCCCCAAACTAACAATGTTCGATGTCAGCTTGGGAATGTAGTACACGCCGGCGAGCACCTCGTGGTCACCGTTCTTGCACTTAAGAGGATGGTCCCGCAGCCCTCAATGGCCATGACCGAGCTGTCTCCGAAACGGACGGTTCCTTGCACGCCGGTGTCGATGTTGGAGAAGGCACCACGCTCCCCCGTCATGTGATTCGTTGCCTCGGCGTCGAGGATCCACCGAGAGGACCCGCCAGTGCCCTTGTCGCCGAACTAGACGAACAACTTGTTCTCCTCCAGGTGGACACGCTCCTGCCGCGTTGGTTGTTGATGTCGCAGCTCCGGCCATGGCTAGAGCCACGTGAATGATGGGGTCAGCCGCGTGCGCGACGGGGAGGACCTCCTCCTCCTCGAAAGTCCACCGCGTGCAGCCTCCCCCTTCGAGCTGAACGGGTAGCTGCTCGGGTGTCGCTGGCGGCTCGGGATCCGATGGCGAGCGTGTCGAAGCCGAGTCGATGTAGAGCGACGTCACCCCCATCATCAGCCTGGCCTCCGGCTCCTCCTCCGCCAGGGCAGCGTGCGCCTACTCGTCGCGTTTCTTTTTGCGGCATTCGTGAGCCCAGTGGCCCGTTTTGCCGCAGTAGGCACATTCATCGGCGGCGATCTTCCTCTTCTTGCCATCGCCGCCGGCGGGTGGCTTGGAACCACCACTTCTTCCACCGCCTTGGGACGAGCCACCACCTCGGCCGTGCCATTGCTTGGACGGTGGAGAGCTGCAACCGGGACACCACCCGCGCCACTAGCTCCTCCTCCGTGTTGTTGAGGCGCGCCGTGGAAGAGTTTGAACCTCCACCGGTGTCGTGCTCGTCGTCAGCCGCCTTGAGCCTCCCCGTGACCTCCTCGATCGTGAGCTCGTTGATGTCGAGGAGCGTCTCGATGGAGATTACTAGCTGCCTGTACCTTGGTCGAGCAACGCGGAGGTATTTGGCAACCACCTTCGGCTCCGGCTCTGGGTCGCTGAGGATCGCCAACCGCTGCACGAGATTAGACAGACGCAGGGCAAAATCCTCGATGGACTCACCATCTCGGAACGCGATCTGCTCGTACTCCGCACGGAGACTCTGCGTCGTCGACTTCCGCACCCGATCATCGCCGATGCACATTGTCCGGATTGCCTCCCACGCCTCCTTGGCCGATGCCTTCGTCGCCAAAGTGGGCACCATCTCCTGGGGCACGCCGGAGCGGATTGCTTCCAGCGCGGAACGATCGTCGTGGTAGTCGACGTCCTCGTCCTCGATCGCATCCCAGAGGTAGCGCGACAGCATCTTCAGCTTCATGAGCAGCGACCACATGTCGTAGTTTGTCTTCGTGAGCTGCGGCCAGTTGCCGGATCCGGTCGTCTCCCAAACGACGCGCTCGACGACGCCCTCCTGGCGTCGCGTTGCCTGATCGGCTTCGAGACGGTGATCGCGGTGGAGTCTTCCTAGAGCCGCTTCCCTTCGACTTCGTCTCCGCCATCGCAACGCCTCAGGCCCTTCTTGTACAAGCTCTGATACCAATTGATGTCGACACCGCCGGCGAGCCTTCGCCGGAGTCGATGAAGACACCCTGCAACTGCACACCGAACTCACGAACGCACACGCACACAATACACAGAAGGTTTTGTTGCCACAAGAGCGCAGCTTTTTCTGACTCTATTGATCAAAGTATATAAACAGAGAGCAACTCGTGGCCGCCCAGGACTCGGCGCCATGCACGCCACTCCTCCCTACAGAGCCACGCCATCCCACGACCGAATGAGTGGGGCGCGTCGGCAGTTACGACTCAACGAAAAAGACGGACACAACGACTACGTGATTTGCCGCACCGCGAACCACGCGCGATTCTGGCGTACAAGACGCATCCGGTGACGGATTCAGTTTTATTGGCTACGATGGAAAGCTAGCTAACTGAACTCTGAAAATTCTGAACCTGGACTGAAAGAACTGACTGAAACCAACTGAACTAACTGAATGAAACCAACAGCCATTGTCCATGCAAGCATCACTTCTTCCTGGCAATGTTACCACCAGCTGTGTGCATGCATGGCAGGTACAAGGAAGGATCGGCGGGGGCGCGTGGCATCGTGGGCACCGAGTCGGCGACCATCGCGCTGGCCGGCGGCAAGGTGGAGCAGCTGAAAGACGTGGTCTTGGGTTGCTCCTCCTCGCATGACGGCCAGAGCTTCCGGTCAGCAGACGGCGTGCTGAGCCTGGGGAACGCCAATATCTCCTTCGCGTCCCGCACCGCCGCGCGCTTCGGTGGCAGCTTCTCCTACTGCCTCGTCGACCACCTCGCCCCGCGCAACGCCACCGGGTACCTCGCCTTCGGCCCAGGGCAAGTGCCCCGGACCCCGGCGACCCAGACGAAGCTGTTCCTGGACCCCCAGATGCCCTTCTACGGCGTCAAGGTCGACGCCATCCACGTGGCCGGCAAGGCCCTCGACATCCCCGCCGAGGTGTGGGACGCCAAGAGCGGCGGCGTGATCCTCGACTCCGGCAACACCCTCACGGTCCTCGCCGCCCCGGCGTACAAGGCCGTGGTCACCGCGCTGAGCAGGCACCTGGACGGGGTCCCCAAAGTGAGCTTCCCCCCGTTCGAACACTGCTACAACTGGACAGCACGACGACCGGGAGCGCCGGAGATCATCCCAAAGCTGGCGGTGCAGTTCGCCGGATCGACGCGGCTGGAGCCACCGGCGAAGAGCTACGTCATCGACGTGAAACCGAGCGTGAAGTGCTTCGGGGTGCAGGAGGGCGAGTGGCCCGGCGTGTCGGTCATCGGCAACATCATGCAGCAAGAGCACCTCTGGGAATTCGACCTGAAGAACATGCAGGTCAGGTTCAAGGAGTCGAACTGCACCCGGTGATCGTAAAGCTGACCTTGATGGTTTTTGTAAGAGCATTCGCACGGAAATTTTAGTTTTCTGACGATCAAAAAATTAGAAAACGAAAATGATGAAAGCGCTGGGCATAAATCAAGTTTCTGCATGAGAAACATACAGATATTCTGGGCGATTTGCTATCCTTGCATCAAACCTATTAGTACGCGCTTGACAAATGGTGTAACGGCACCGAAATGTACCGTTGGTAATCATCTAACAATTCGGCCGCCGGGGGGCGTGATTTTTTCGCTTGCTTGTATATAAAAACCTCTGTTTCTCTCTATCCTAATTGAAAGGCAGAGCTCCTACCATTGCTTTCAAAAATAATCAACAATTTGGTATATTATGATGATGTTCCAGATCTCAATGCTAGCACTAGCTAAGCACCACCAGAACCATCACAGAACATCAAAGTTGTTCGGCAGCACAAGAAAACATACAATTATGGAAGTACATGCATACCATCAATTTAGCATTTGAAATCAAGAGTACAAAGTATCAAGGTCACTACAGATAATAAACATTTCTTCTTGTTCATTTGGCTAAATAGGCAAAATGGCAACATCATAATTCACGACTCTTAGCTGAACTACAAAATCCAGGTACTCCTTTTCAAACTGCCCATAATCATGCTTCGGTCTGCTCCCGCAGGCGCCGGATTGTGCTTCTGACAGTGACCGCACTAGCAGTGCTGGAAATGCAAAGTAACAAATTAGAAAACACATGGCGACTAGAGACACAGAAAATGCGATATAATCAGAGTAACTGGACATCATCACATACTTCATGGTGTAGGCGCCACCGGCCTTAACCTTCCCACAGTCCTTGCATCCCCAGATACCAACTGCTTTCCTCTTCACAGCAAACTGTTATAAAGTATTGGCGATACAAAAGACAATGGCACAGGTAAGAATCAAAAAGCAAATAGAAAGAAACATGGTATGGAATTCATAAAGGAGTTTCATTAAAACCATTTAAAACAGTGAAAAGCCCGAAAAGGTCTGGCAAGGTATGCCTTGACATTAACCGACTATCTAGTAGAATTCAGGTAAGGTGGAAACTATCTCAGAAAAGTTATAACATGAATATGGCTATATGAAAGACGATCACAATTTGATATTGCAAATGGTGATGAACATATTTAACCCAAGTCACTATTCATTGCTATCATCCCAAAAAAGGAGATACTGGAATTAGTCAATAGCACATAATTGCTAAAATAAACAATAGTGCATCTTAAAAATAGCAAACAAACAATAAATGATACTCAACTAATGCACAGTAAATGATTGACCAGTTTGCTATGAGACTATGAAAGCAAGGCATCACAAAATCAATGAGTTTACCTTGCCACAAAACTCACAGAAGTACTTGGAGTGCTGGGAGACCTCCATCTTCTTGATCTGTTTACGTAAACTGGCACCATACCTGGTACCTGTGTAACAGCAATAACAAAAGAGTAATCAACCAGAATACAATGGTAAGAACATGACCGCAAAACAATGAGTAAAGATAGTCCAGTGTCTCTACCATATTTGCCAACGATTCCTGCCTTCTTGGTGCGCTTCGTCTGCAAAATCATCACAGAGCATAAAAAATCAAAAAACATGTACAGATACGTACAATACTCTGCATTGGTTAACATGATACATTGCATAGACAGAAGCAGGGAACAGCTAAAGCAATTTATACCAGCACAACTCAACTGATGCAAATTAATTTCGACTGCCCAAAAGCAGGAGATGGTAAACAACAGCTAAGATCTAGTTGAAAAGTTTAAGCTAGATAGCTTTTCGAGTGGAATGATAATTATTGCTCAAAGCATGTATCTGAAGAAAGCACAATATTCTTACTACTTCGGTAACCTATTCAACTATACAATTGTAGTTGTTTATTTAGTTATTTAGTGCCTGTACCGATCATTTAGAGCTTGTTTGGCTGCACTTCAATCCACTCCAATCCACATGTATCGGGATTGGGGTGGAAAAATCACTAGTTTTCGACACCAATTCATCCCAATACATGTAGATTGGGGTGGATTAGAGTGCACCCAAACGCGGCCTTAGGTGGTCGAAATGGACTAATGGAGGCGGTTCCGACCGGCAACAAGATTGTGACAAACATTTTAACACGAAACAACATAATAGTGCAGATTTCTAAATCCCACGGTGAGATCCAACGATTCCTGACAGCTACGGAAAGCACTAGCAGACTAAATAAGTAGGGAGCACAACTAGTTAATTGGGTAAATTTCTCGAAGATGCCGACCAAAATCAAGACAGCCCAACAGTAAACAACTTCTTCCAAAGCGACGTACCATCTCGTCGGCGAGGAAGTGGCGGGCGTCACCGAAAGCGAGAGTAGGAAGGCGTCGCCGGAAGCGAGATGTCTCGAGTCTCCTCGGGAGGCGGCGCGGGCGAGGTTATGTGGATGCGGCTAGGGTTTTCCTCGTGCTCTTCTGGTCGACCGCCGCCAGACTGGATTAGTAGATTTTGAGCCAGAGTTCTGGCGGCCCGATGTTTGCAAGGCCAGTTTAGCATACTTTAGGCCCAAAAATAAGGTGCATGTTATGGTCTGATCACCGCACGGATTTTTTTTTTTTCTATATATAATTTTTAAATTTGTTTTTTTTTTGCCTAAACTATTATCTTCTAAACTTGTTCTTTTTGGTAGTGTTTATCTCATGCACACCGCCTTATCATATTTTTTACAGTATTAGATAATAAATGATGCACAACGCCCTATCATATAGTTTAAAATAATCATACGGATACGTTCAATCACTGGCTACCTATATGATCACTGGTTTTTTTGCTACTAGCCTACTACATTAAGAATCAAGATAAACCCATGCGTCTCACACATGCATATATCTAGTATTTTTTAAAATAAACTAAATACTAGAGCCTTTTTTTTTGTACACACAACGCGTTTCTAGCTTTTCTCGCATGGCTCCTATATCTCCTGCTCGTGGCACGGTCTCGTCTGTTTCAGACGGTTTCGAGCTCGCGACCTGCAGGGACGTCGCCGCCGCTCTTGCCGACGCTTTCGTACTCGGGAGCGGACGGAGAGGCGTCATCCTCTTTCTTCTTGGTGTACTCTCCGTAGGGGTAGGAGGCGAGGCCCCAGACGCAGAGCGCGGTGGCGACGGCCTTCTCGGCGCCGAACGGGTCGCCGAACACAACCACGCCGCCCAGCACGTTTGCGGTGAGCACGGCGGCCATGCACACGCCGCTGTGGAGCGACGAGGTCAGGTAGATCACACCGGCCGTGCCCATGAAGCACGCCTGCCACGTCAGCACGAGCGTCAGCACCACGACCAAGTACAGCGCCGTGGAGCCCTCCCAGCGCGCCACGTCATCGCGGGCCCCTCCCGCGGCCACCAGCCCGACCGCGGCCACCGCCGTGGCCATGGCCTGCATCGCCACCTGCACCTCCACGGCCAGGACGAACCCGCCAGACACCGCCCTGCGGTACAGGAGCTCCATGACGGGCAGGTACGCGGCGAACAGCCCCGCGGCGCCCAGGGTGACGACGTAGCCCAGGACGTAGCCCGGAGCGGAGCGCGAGGAGCACCGAACTGAGCGTGAGGAGGAGGACGGCGTTGAGGTTGACGAAGGTGATCGGGTGGCAGACGATGACGGCGGCGAGGACGAGCGTGAACGCGAGCTGCGTGGACAGCAGCAGCGACGACCTGGACACGGGCAGGAACGAGGAGCTGTACGAGAACAGCAGGTTGTTGACGCCCATGAGGGCGCCGATGCCCAGGCAGACAGCGAGGAACCTCCGGGAGAACCACAGGAACGGGCGCGGCGCGGCGGCGAACACGGCGGGGACGAGCAGCGGGAATCCAACCGACTGCACCAGCGTGACGATCCACCGGTTCTGGCCGCCGTGCGCGAAGTAGTACCGGGACAGAAGGCTCTCCGCGACTGAACCCACCAGCAGCGCCGCGTAGTTAGCCGCCAGGAGGGCTATCCGACGGCGGCGCTCGCTAGTGATCGCCATTGCAGATAATGGCTCGTCGCGGAGGCGTAAGCAATGATAGCAGCGGCGGCGGCGGTGTTGGTTGTAAGTGGGGCGATTTGCTCGATGACGATGAGAACTAATGAGATCGAGATTTTGGAGGAAACAAAGACTCTATATATATGATAAACGGCCTAGTTTTCTGGACAAAATGTGGATGGATCGGTTATCTCCTGGGAGATATCGAAAATGGACGAATCTGCAGTGAGTTTCCGTGCGAGAATTTTGGGCTTTCAGTTGCTACTATTGCTCGTTCAACGACGTCGTGGTTTCCGGCTTCCCGTCTGTCCCCGAACATACAAGGCAGTTTACATCATAGTATAAGATTTATCCGATCCATTTCTACTTTTTTATGAACACTATTATGCTCCCTACGTTTCAGAAGGTATTACGTTTTTATCCCAAGTTAAACTTCTACTCCATAAATATATCATATCAGTGTATTACGTTTCAGAACGTACTTATTACGTATTTCTTTAACCATGTTTAAAGAGAAAAATATATCATATCTACTACATCAAATTAGTTCCATTAAATCCGCCATAAACATATCTTAACAGTGTAGGTATTTATTGGGTAACGCAGATGTCAATGTATTTTTAATGATTTTTTGTTAAAGTTAAAAGTAGTTTGCCTTAGGAAAAATTTAAAACCACCTACATTTTGTTAGATCATATGGAAGCTCATCAAAGATTTACCTCCCGTCGTGAGACTCATGAAGAACGAAGATTGTATGATTGGTGTTTGTTGCACTTCCATCTCCTCTTGAGGTGCCTCTCAAGGTTTACCGGTACATTTCTAGAGGCAAATGAAACAAGATATGTGTCGGGTATCGATATTAGAGATACCCAAAGCAAGGAAGTCAGCGACGCTGACTTCTCCGGATGGTTCGAGACGTATTAAAAGGTCTCACCCGACCTTAAGGACACGGGATCCGTCTCGCCCGACCCCTTGGGTGCGGGTTCCGTCTCGCCCGATCTCAAGGCCGCGGGCTCCGTCTCGCCCGACCTCGAGGTCGCGGGCTCCGTCTCACCCGACCCTAAGGACGCGGGTTCCGTCTCACCCGACCCCTTAGGTGCGGGCTCTGTCTCGCCCGACCCCGAGGACGCGGGCTCCGTCTCGCCCGACCCCTTGGGTGCGGGCTCCGTCTCGCCGGACCTCGAGGACGCGGGCTCCGTCTCGCCCGACCTCGAGGCCGCGGGCTTCGTCTCGCCCGACCCCTTGGGTGCGGGCTCCGTCTCGCCCGACCCCAAGGACGCGGGTTCCATCTCGTTCGACGGGGACCCATACCGCCGCCAACCACTCCAGGTCCAAGCGTATGGGCCTGGGTCAAAACTCTGACACCAGGGAAGAGGCTGGCATGCCTCGATGTAACCCGTGGCCATGACGGGCCATACCTGGGAATTCACATCAAGAACTGTGTCGGACATGCCGGTGTTGTTCTGCCTAATCCTAGTAAGGACGCTGACAGGCGCGTCAGTTGATCACGACGTCCGTCGGTACGGAGTGGAACGCCATGACCGGCAGATGACGCCTGCGCATGGCGCTAGTGACGAACAGGGCCGCGACATGGAGCCGTCCCTGTTGACATCTACAGGATCAGCAAGACCCGCATGAAGGAGGAGAAGGACCCGGCAACCCTGGAAGCCTTCTTCTCCCTCTCGTTCTTCTCTTTTTCCTCATCTGTAACCCGCGCTTTCCCTTCGCCTATAAAAGGGAAGCAGGGCGCCCCACGCAAAACAGGACGAGATCTGAACACAAGAGCACGACACGAGCACACGGCTGAGCGGCAATCAAGCTCTCAGCATCCATTCACTTCTTCCACCAGAGACTTGGAATCCTCTCCCTCTCACGCCTGTTTGTAACCCCTACTGCAAATCAAGTGCCGGTAACATGAGTAGCAACGAACTGGATGTAGGGACGTTTCGCCCGAACCAGTATAAACCCTTGTGTCCTCCGAGCACACCATCCGAGCCAGACGCGCAAATACAAATTTACTCGTCAGTGGTCCGAAAAATACCGACAGTTGGCGCGCCGAGTAGGGGCTTTTTGCGTGTCTCGACGTCCACATCAGGCCTCGGATGATTAGTCACGGCGTCAGCTGGGTCCCGGGCACGCACGTGCGCTTCGGGAACCTGGACTTCATCGTTATGACAGAGGGAGAGTTGGCGCAGGTTTCCGCCGCCGTCCAGCCTCTCCACTCCGTCGGCCTCGACGCGATCGCTGAGGCGCTTGAGGAGCTACAGCTGCATGCACCGAAGGCCCGCACCTCGGGAGCGACTTGCTCCTCGGCTTCGATTATGGGAGGCTAGAGCGCCAGCTCGACCCTTCCTAGGACCCCGATTGTCTCGGGAGGACCTAGGCCGCCTCACCTTCTCATTCGCCAACGTCATGACGCAGCTTGCTGGGGGAGAGCCACTCTCCCTAGAATACCTCATCCGGAACACCCCGACAGCGCTCCCGTTCGATCTGCACAACGTCCCAGAGACTGTTGGCCACCTCGTGGCACAACACACGTCCCCATCCCCTACGAACGACGATTCAAGGGGATGATTGAATACGTCGTGGAATCTTTCCATGACCTTCTCGTAGGAGAATCGGTGTCGCCCTCTAACTCTGACTCCAGCAGGGGGAGCCATCACCCCTCGCGAGAACGTTTCATGACAGGTACCCCCAAGGGATGCATCGAAAGCATCCACGAGGGAGAGGCTCCCCCGACAGATGACCTCGACGATGAGGTCGAGGGGGACGCAGGGGCCCCACCTCTCCTGCAGGTAGAGCAGCTGAGGGCGCGGCACCAAGAGTTCGAAGAAGCACGACTCTAGTTCGAGTAGGAATGTGCGGAGCTCGAGCGTCACGGAGATGGTGGGTGCGCGCGCGCCGTGGCCCGCGACGTGAACTGGAGGATCATTGAGGACGGCGAAGCCCTCCCACACTTAACCCGGGCAAGCCAGAACATCGTTGCCTCGACATCCTTGCTCCGGAGGCTTTCGGAGCCCACGACACCCGAGGATCATCAGGCCCATCACGAGATTCACACGCTACTCGAGCGTGCGGCGGCGCAGCAGACCAAGAGCTCGCTGTCCCGACGACGCGAGCTCGATGCCAGACAATGCACGCCCTCAAAGCAACCCAATAGGGACATGTCAGTCCACTAGGCGCAGCAAGGCGGCAGGCCACACGCCGTGGCCCCGGTGAGCATCTCGGCCTCCACCGTGACACGCGTAACACCCTCGATGCCCGTAGGCATACCCATGGCGATGAGAGGGAGGAGGCTAGCCGCGGCTACCACCCTCGTCATGGCGGATGCTACGATAGCGGCGAGGACCAAAGCCTGAGCCCTGACTTGCCGGGACCTCAGGCCTTTGGCCGACACATCCTCAATGCCGTGTTCCCACTGCGGTACCAACCGTCGACCAACATCTTGAAATACTCTAGCGAAACAAACCCCGGACTATGGCTCGAGGATTATTAGCTTGCTTGCCAAGCCGGTGGAGCGGATAGTGATGATTTCATTATCCGCAAACTTCCATTATTCCTAGCCGATTCGGTGCGAACATGGTTGGAACACCTTCCGCCCAACCGAATCCAAAGTTGGGCGGACCTAAAAGAGATCTTCGTGAAAAACTTCTAGGGCACATACGCGCATCCTAGGAACTCATGGGATCTAAAAACTGCCAACAAAAGTTCGAGGAAACTCTTCGTGGGTACATCCGACGCTTCTCCCAGCAGTGCAACGAGCTGCCCAACGTCGCCGATGTTGACGTCATATGAGCTTTCCTGTCTAAGACCACCTGCAAGTCCTTGGTTCACAAGCTGGGACGTAAGGGCCCGCAAACCACCAAGGAGCTCCTCGACATCGCCACTAGCCACTCCTCAGGCGAGGAGGCAGTCGAGGCGATTTTCGACCACCCCAAAAAGGCAAGGCAAAGCAGGACAAGGACGCCGACGAAGGCGCCTCCAACCACCCCAACAATAAGAAGAACAAGCAGCGCCACGAGGGCTCGCTCGTGGCCACTGCTGATTGTAAGGGGGGTCAAAAGCCCACTTAGGGTACACTGAACCACTTTCAAGAAGCTGCTCGAACGGCCATGCCCGAATCATGCTTTCCCCGTCAAGCACCTATACAAGGACTGCATCCTCATGAAGCGGTTCTTACCCCGAGGCTCCAACAATGGAGAGCATAGGAAGGAGCCCAAGCCAGCCACAGACGACGCCGAGGCGAAGGACGGTGGATTTCTGATGTTGGATGGCTGCCTCATGATCTTCGGAGGGTCGGTGGCCTACGACTCCAAGCACCGCCAGAAGCTTGCGCGCCGTGAGGTCTATACGGCCGAGCCGGCCTCGCCTTCCTTCCTCCGATGGTCGGAGTCCACCATAACCTTTGATCAGACTGACCACCTGCAAAGCGTCCCATAGCTAGGAAGATATCCGCTCGTGGTCGACCCGATCATCGACACAAAGCTGCTCACTAAGGTGTTGATAGATGGAGGCAGCGGCCTCAACATCATGTACGCTAAAACGCTCGACGCCATGGGCATCGACCGATCGTGCATCCGACAGACCGGGGCGCCTTTCCACAGCATCATGCCTAGAAAGCAGGCCATGCCATTTGGGCAGATCGATATGCCCGGCACCTTCAGGAATTCGACCAATTATAGGACGGAGACCCTTACCTTCGAGGTGGTCGGGTTCCATGGGACCTACCACGCCATCCTGGGACGTTCATGCTACGCGAAGTTCATGGCCGTCCCCAACTACACATATCTAAAGTTGAAGATGCCAGGTCCATGTAGGGTCATCACCATCGGCACTTCCTTCTAGCGTGCCTACGAGTGCGAGGTCGAGTGCTGCGAACACATCGAGGCAATTATCGTCTCCAAAGAGCTTGCGGCCATCAGGGAGGAGGTCATCAAAGAAACGCCCGACCCCAAGCGGTCGGCTAGGTCTTTTGAGCCTATAGAGGACGCTAAGGAGATACT